GGTAACTGATGTGATTCAGCAATCTGTATACGGGGTATAATTGGGAGTTCATAACCCACTTGAATCAAATTGTGAAATATGATGTATTAAGAACTATGTAATGTTTTGAACGACCAACAATAAAAAAAAAAGAAACTGGACAATTTAGATAATATATTATAGCAACTCTGGGTACTGATCTCCTGGTTTGGGGCTTGTTAGTGCTACTTGCTTATTTATTTAGTGACTTGCTGGATTATTTTAATTCTCTTTCCCATAGTGTTAAGCCTGTGATACTTTTCCTCAGTGAGATATAGGTTTGGGTATGAGAAGACACCCTGGGACTTCACCTTGCTTTTCCTGAACACACCTTCATGTTAAACTCTACTAATTGATTGTCTTAAGTTTTCAACAATGCAGTAGGCATAAACTCCTCTACAAATGAATACAATTTAACTGTAGCTCTTTTGACAGAACAGTTTCTAAGGTCATAGTTGATATTCATTCTAATTCCAGGAGGACTCCTAGTTGTCCTGTTCCCTGGAACTCTCCTGAAGACTAGCTAATCTATAATCTAGTCTGTATCTTCACTAGATCTACAAATCACCTCCCCATTGCCTTTTACAACTGCCCAGGTTTTAGAGAGTGCTATTAGGCTTATACTTTTCCAGGCTGTTATAAATATAGACAGTTACTTTGGGAAAAGATCAGGAGCTGTTTTACTGCCTGCTTCTCCAGGCAAAATCTCTATGCCAAGCTCTGAAGGTGACCAGGCAGAAAGTGGCAGCTAAATTTTGAGTGAAACCTTCTCAATCCAGGAACTGAACACTTGATGGAAGGGGGGGCAGGGGAAGCAGCGGTGGCTCTTACTGTGCATTTACTGGCAGGAAATCACAACTTCAAAGGCCCAGGCATAGGTTAATGGGGCCCCTGTATTTTCAGCTCACTATGTGTACAGGGAGCCATTCCTTGAATGGGGACTGGGCAAAACAAGGGACTTCTACTTTTTAACCATACTCAGCTTGGAGTAAGCCTATGTGACAGGCAGTTAAGGGCATGAGAATAAACACTGAGGTCCTGCTCCTCCTAGGAAGAAAGCCTGCAGCTGGCAGCTGGGAAGAGAGGGAGCCCAATGTTCTTGGTGGCTGCAGTCTAGAGTAGGCTTTATCTCACTGAATTGGAAAGGGAAATGAGGGAACAGTCTTTGGTTCAAATATTATGGACTATAGCCTTTCTTAACAAATTTTCTTAAGACTTTTGCTTAATAGATGCTATTTGCTATTGTGGTTAGGTTCCTTTCTTATACTTTTCACCAGCTTTAAAGAGGGCTAGTTCAGCAGAGCCCTTTGTGTTCTCATTCTAGAAGTCCATCTTCCTTTCTCTTACAATCAATTCTAATAATGCTTTTTAAATTATTAATAATAATACTGTATTTCACATTTAGGTTTCCAAAGGCCTTAATCTTGCTATAGCAAGGGTCTATTCTGAGTCCTTAAATTCTTCAGCTTCTCAGTAGCATCACACAGGTGACTACCCCACCCCCTTTGGGGTTATAAACTACTTTGATATGTCCTTCTATCTCATCTTTTTTTTTTCCTCAGTCTCCTTTGTAGGAGCCATTGCATTGCCCAATCTATAAATGCTGGAGTGCCTTTATGAGGCAAGGATTCTCTTTGCTCTTTATATATATATATATCTTCCCTATGTAATCTTTTCCAGTTATGTTAAAAAAAGATCCTTATGATTATAACTCCCCAATATAACCACATGCTGCATGAAGACATTTTGCTTAATAGTGTACCACATATATGACAGTGGTCACATATAATTATAATGAAGCTGAAAAATTCCTATTACCTAGTGATACCATAGCTATCATACTGTCACAGTGGAATGTGTCTGTAGTGATTCTGGTATAAACAAAACTACTGTACTACCGGTGCTATAAAAGCTCAGCACATACAATTATGTACAGTGTATATAACTAATAATAATAAATGACTACATTACTGGTTATGTATTTATTATATTTATCATATATATTGTATGTATATTTTAGAGTATACTTCTTCTACTTAAGAAAAGAAAACAAAGTTTTCTATAAAACAGTATCCTATGTTATATCACCAGCAGCCACACACATGTTGGGTTTATGTTGTTTCTTGACTATCAAAAGGCCATGTGGCGTGATTTACTCATGCCATCTAGGTTTGTGTAAGCACACTCTATGAGGTCCGCATAGTAATGAAATCACCTAATAATTCTGTTCTCAGAACTTGCCTCATCATTAAGCAATGCATGACAGTACATATTTCTAGCCCTAACTCATACTTAATTATTTTCAATAACTCTATTTGCATTTTCAGTTCAGTAATTGCAAACAAAACGTAAATTCAACACAACCAGTTTTCCAATCCTAGTCTTCTACCAACTTATCTAGTCATATCTTCAATTCCTCCTTTCCTCTCAAATCTAACCTATCAGGAAATTCTACTGGTTTGTCCTCAAAACTATATCTTGATTTAAAACCCATCTTGGATCAATCTGATCAATTCTTACCATCTTATCTGCTCATCCTATTTAAAGTCACTTAAAGTCATTGTCATCTTTTCTCTGGAAAAACAAAATAGTTTCAATGGGAAACATATTCCTCCTGTGTGTTAACCACCCCCTTACTTGTCCACAAAAAAGCCAATATGTTAATTTTAAACCACTTATCAGTTTATATCATTCCTCTGTTTAAAATCAGTGATTTGTAACTTTTTGGAATAAAACCCAACCTCATTAGCATGGCCTATAAAGGCCCGAATGATCTCCTATTTCCCTACTACTCTGGCCTAGTATTACACCCTTCTCTTCTTCATTTACTGTGCTTCAGCTGTATTGGCTGCTTTCTCTTCCTTAAACCTCTCCATTTTAATGTATTTGAGACCTCTAAGTTTGATCTACCTGCAAAAATCTTACTCCAAGTCTCTCATGATTCACTTATTCAGATTATCTAGATCTCAGGTCAAACATTAACTCCTCATAATAATGCAATCTGATATAATTAAGATATATTAAAATATCAATTAATAAACAATGGGGGGGGCTGTGGTTTGCCTAGCACATGTGAGGCACTGGGTTCAATCCTTAGCACGGCATACAAAAATAAGCAAATAAAATAAAGGCATGCTGTCCATCTACAACTACAAAAAAACAAACAAATAAAAATTTAAAACAAAAAACAATGACCACATATGTTCACTTACAATTTCCAATTATCCTATTTATTATTGTATTTTAAAACTGACCTTAGAAAGGTCACCTAAGGGTGAAGTTTGATTTCTTCAGATAAAAGTCTTAATTTAAAGTACATTAATAAATAACAATCATTACAAATATTTAGCAGCTTAGTGTATGCACGATTTTTGATTAATAAAAATAAGAAACAGAAATCCTTTACATGCCAACAAACAAATCAAATTAAAGAAACATACTCATAGTCTGACTTTTTTGGTATGAATATATCCTGTGTATCATCTTCCATATGTTGTAGGTCAACATAAAGGTCTGGAGTTCCACTTGCATTAAAATTTCCTTGGATGTTTGGACTGTATTGTTGAAGACGCTTCCATAAGTCATTATAAAGACATAATAATTTGGGATATTCTCCTTCGAAGGCTTGTTTCAAAAACATGGAAGCTGCCAAGAAAAACAACAGCATGGGTTAGATAAATGATAAAACAATAAAATGTGGTAAATGAATTATTTCTTTTGAATATGAAGCTGATGTTATAAGTAGCACAATACCACCAAATAATCAGACATGTTTTAATTATACTTCATAAAATAATGCTAGTAACAGTAACTTTCCTCTCAGATGATGCATTAAATTTGTTGTATGAAACATATATGCTGAATCTTAATCTATATTAAAAATAGACAAACTCAAATTATAGTTGAAGGTTTCAATTTCTTCTCTTGATAACTGATAAAACAAGTACATAAAAAATCAGGATACAGAAAATTGAACAAAACTAAAACCCAATTGACTGACTATGCATTTATACAATACTTCATCCAAAACATCAAAAACATATTTTCTTATATATATGTGAAATATATGCTGAGATTGACAAAGCTTTAAAACAAAGTATATCTTGTATACCTTCTTTAAACAAAATAGGGTTAGATTAGAAATGAATAACAAAAGCATACCCCCAAATTCTCACATATTTGAGACATAAGACATAGGAAGGAGGAAAGGAAGGTGGGAGGGAGAGGGATAAATAACTTAGAATTTATTTTTAACTGAATTAAAATTATAATAAAACAGCAAAATCTGTAGGCTAACAGTTGTAAGGAATACTTGGGGGATAGTTTATATAGGCATTTACATTTGAAAAGAAGAAATGTCTCAAATCAAGAACTTATGCTTCCATTTTAAGAACATTTTAGAAAAAAGGGGGGCAAAAAACCCCAAAGAAAAACAGAAGAAAGAAAATAAATATCTGCATATTTGCATAGACTTCAATAAAAGAGAAAAACACTGAAACCCAAAACTGGATCTGTAGAAGATAAGTAACATTGGCAAACTTCTAGCCTTATGGATTAAGAAGASAGGAAAAAAGTAAACCATATGAGCCATAAGAGAGGTGACCTCGTTACATATTCTGCAGACAATAATAGGATATTAAGGAAATTTTGAAGAACTATGGCAGTAAATTAGAAAACTTTCATGAAATGTTTCCTTGAAAGACACAAACTACTAAACTTCCCCAATAATAAGTATACAGAGCATTTGTATCTAGAATATATAAACATCTCTCATATCTCAGTAATAAGACAATCTAATTTTTTAAATGGGACTTTCATTGAAGAAAGTATATGACTGGCAAATAAGAGCATGAAAAAAAAACAACTCAATATCTTTCACCAAAATGAAAATGTGAATTAAAATTAAAATGGGATAGAACTTCGTAACTGTTCAAATGGCTAAAATTAAAAAGACCAAAGAAAAATCCAATGACAATATCAGAGAATACACTTTTGGTGGAAAGGACAAACTATATAATCATTTTGCAACAGTTTGGTATTTCTTTCAAATGTTAAATATATACCTACCATATAGTTATACCATCCCATCCCCAGATATTTATCCAATAGAAGTAACAGTATATGTCCACATAAAGCAAATACATGAACATTCAAAGAATTTTTAAGAGAAAAGAATCACAAATAATCTAATGTTATCCACAGAGGAATGTATAAAGACAATGTACCATTACCACATAATGGAATACGATCAAGCAGTAAGAACAACTACAATATAGATGAACGTCAATAAAAACAAGTGCATGTAAGAGTATAGACAAATAACATATATAATATAAGCTGTATCATTCAGTTTGTACAGAATTCTAGGATATAAAAATACACAGTGAAGAAAAGCAGATAAATGTTTGCCTGGGGAGGTAGAGCGAGATGCAGAGATGGGGGCAGGAACTACAAAGGGAGACAAAAAAAAATTGGGCAGAATGTGGATATATTCATTGATCTGGTCTGTTTTAATGGTTTGATGAGCTATATACATGGCAAAGCTTATCAAACTGTACACTTTATATGCAGTTTATTATATGCCAATTTTATCCTATTGAAATTATATAAAAAAAGAAATGATCTCAGAGATAACTTCTTTGGTCTTCCTTTTCTGCTGAAGAAGCAGAAGATGTGAACAGAAGCAGGAGCAGGGGGACGTGGTCCCTGAATATGTTCTTGCATAGCATGCCCATAAAGCAAGTCCATTGTGACTCTATTATTTGCAGCAAGAAATCTTGAGAAATAAGGTAATATCTTTCTGTACACTGCAAGCTGGCTTGCTTACTACTCAGTACAAAAGGGGTAGTTTCTCCAAGCTCAAGGTTCTTTACAAGCAATGCAACCTCACAAGACACATACCATCCCTGTGGGTCCATATCATGTTTTTCCATAATATTTGGAGGCATGGGAAAGCAACAAACAATAAGCTAATGCTCATGATGTATACTGTACTGTGAATAATAAAGTTGTTTTTCCCTAACCCAGGGAACTCTTGCCTTCTGACAACATTTAGTTAACCCATGGCAGATTAGACTTTTAAAGTCAGATAAAAATCTCAAATCCTTTACAGTCCTGAACTCCCCAAAATAAATAATATTCCTTAGTTATTCTCTTGTAATAGTCTGTTCTCTGCCATCTTTGCATTAACTACCATTTCTGACCATATTCATTTAAAGTATGTTGTATTTCCTCCTTGTCTACAAAGTCCATGAAGACAAAGACAATGCTTGTTTTCTTCAATCTACAATTTGTTATCTAACACAACACCTGGAATAGTAGAAATAAAGTAAACATTTATTGAATGATAACTTTTTTTAAAAAATTGGACACTGTGTTTACTTCTCTCCCTTCCCCTATCTCCTTTCAGTACTAAGGATTAAATCCAGGGGTACTCTAGCCACAGACCAGTCCTTTTTTTTTTTATTGTTGGTCGTTCAAAACATTACATCTTTCTTGATATATCATATTTCACAATTTGATTCAAAAGACCAGTCCTTTTTATTTTTTATTTTAAGTCAGGGTCTCGCTAAATTGTTGGGGGCTGGCCTCACACTTGCAATCCTCCTGTCTCAGCCTTCTGAATTGCTGAAATTACAGGTATATGCCACCACGCCCAGCCATTTATCTTAATACCACATAAATTATAGACAGAAAATGATAGGTTATCTATTACCAATTTCTTGGGAATTTATTATTCAGATTCCATCCTTATAAACCATTGCAATTTTTCATTATTTACTAGTGATTAAATACAAGTACTAACAAGAAGATGAAACTCATATTAATATCAGTGTAATTACTATTAAAATTTTGTTCCTAAGTAACAGGTCTGGTGAAAAACAACCTCTGATTAAGAAAGTCTGCCCTGAGATGATTTCCTTTCCTCTATCTTCTTTAATTCATTGCAATTGAGAACTCCTGTAGTTTCAAAAATTCATAGGTTCAGGCCCATCTTAAACCTTGAGCTAATTCCACAGAGACATGAAAGGATGAATGTAATCCATGTGTTCTGTTTCTCTTTCATTACCTCCTCTATTTTAGTACCTAAGTTTATTTTCTTTCTAACACTGAATGCAGTTAAGAAGTTATTAGTTTGTGTTCACTTTATCTTCCTCAAGAAAATATCTGAAATAACTTTATCAATTCATTAATATATGTTATGCTTTCTCTCCAAAACAAATGTTGATACATTTCTATAGGTTTTTTCCCCTCATTCTTTCTTTTGTTATCAGCTAATTGCTTTGTTGCAAAGTTCTATAGAATTATTCTCTTGTTCAATTTGCCATTTTGAACAGGAATAATGGTGAGAAGAGGTGGGAAGAATAGCTGTCATTTATCTGTGAAATAAAATCAGTATGTAAGAGGATAGTTGATGGACCTTAAAGATATTTGTCCATGGCATGCATAATGGTTATGTAGCCTATAAAATAGCAAAGAATAAGGAATCCACAGATCTATGGCAAGAGGTTTCTTCTCGCCCTTTTCACTTTTGAAGTAGAGGTAATATGCTGTGTCTAGATATTGATGTTGCTAATTCAATTAGGTCAATGATACTCAAATGATCTTTTTAAAAGAGTAATGGGGAGTCAGTGAAGAATTTTAATTAGAAAATAACATGGGCTGGGGATGTGGCTCAAGYGGTAGCGCGCTCGCCTGGCATGCGTGCGGCCCGGGTTTGATCCTCAGCACCACATACCAACAAAGATGTTGTGTCCGCCGCCGAGAACTAAAAAATAAATATTAAAATTCTAAAAAAAAAAAAAAGAAAGAAAGAAAATAACATAATAGAGTTCATCCTGCTAAATAAGTATACATTTCCTTACTCTTCTATAGTTATATAAACTTTTAGTACTTCAAACTGCAAGTTTTCTTCCACATATTCTACAGAATACTTAGGATGGTGCCTTACAAGCTCATTATCACTGAATTAAAAGACTTCAATTGCAGGGATGAAAATAATAATGGTACTCCAAATGAGGGTGTGAGGTTATTCTCCTAAAAGTGTGCATGTGTTCAGGTTGTAATTAAGTTTTAAGAAATGTATCATGTAACTTGCTCTTATGGTTTAGATTCTAGGTATTCCCCCCCAAAGTTCATGTGTGAGACAGTGCAAGAACATTCAGAGGTAAAATGTCTTTGGTCGTGGCAGCCTTAATCCAATCAGTGAATTAATCCCCTGACTGGGATTAACTGAGTAGTAACTGTAGGCTCCTGCGTGTGGCTGGAAGAGGTGGATCATTGAGGGTGTACTTTTATACATTTCGTGAGCTGAATTTAGGCTCTCTCTGCTTCCTGATCATGTGAACTGCTTCCCTCCACCACACCCATCTGTCATGAGGTTCAGCCTCAAATAGAGCCCCCAAGGAATAGAGCCAGCTGTCTAAGGATTGAGACCTCTAAACTGTGAGCCCTCAAACTTTTCTTTTTCTAAAGTTGGTCTTGTCAGATCTTTTGGTCACAGCAGCGAAAAAGCTAACAAAAATATTAGAACCAATCTAACTTTTAAAAATAAGTCTGGGGGCTGGGGATATAGCTCAGTTGGTAGAGTGCTTCCCTCACATGCACAAGGCCATGGGTTCAATCCCCGGCACCACAAAAAAAAA